TTTTTGAACTATTAATATGTCGAATTTTTTCTATTAATGTTTCAACAGACGCATCGAAGTTAATACATATAAAACTATCCCATAATTACTATTTAAAATAATGAAAAAAGGATATATTTTAAATACTGAATTTTCTTCTTATTCTAAATTTATATTTTTCGCATTAAAACATGCACACATAAAGAAAAAAGGAAATACAGATTTAATATATATATTTATAGCTTATTCTAATTGTCATTTTTTTAGAAGAAAAAAATAAATCTATCGCTTCGATATGTACACGAATAGTAATAGTAATTAAGCATTAAAACAACGATATTCATCATCTTCTTACGTACACTTTTACGCATAGGATAAATTCTAAATAGTTCATTTGTCTGAATTTCAAATTTTCAGTAAGATCAGAACATGGTACAAGTTTATAAAATTATTACAGGTGCTATTTTATGTACGTTATTGATGACAATATCTATTTTAACTGTAGAATCAAAATATGCAGAAAATATTCCTGTGAGTTCAACAATTTTATATTGTTTTACATCTTCTAAGTCACTCAGTTTTCATTTTAGCAATACGATCAAAATTTAGAAGCCAATATTCCAATTAAATATATTGCAAAACGTCGTTTTTTACCTACTCGTCGTGATTTACTTGAATGGCCAATATCATATGAAAATAATAATCTAGTTCATTTGGATAAATATCAGTTTATGAAATTAAAACGAGATTATTTGACTAACAGACGTAATGAAGAAAAACAGATAATAAAAGGTACTTTAGATTTAAAAATGTTCTATTGTCAAGATGTATATGATATTATTTGTTTTTTCTTTATTTCAGGATTAGTCTGAAGAAATCGATTAGAACAATGATAATAAAACTTTGTTTCAATGCATTATTTTATCGTTTAATGCGCAGAAAATAATTTTAATTAACAATACGTTAAACATGAAGAAAAAAAAAATGCAAAAATTTTGGTATAATTAATAGCAGATCTTTTTTTCATGAATGTTCCACATATCATACAAATAGCGTAATAAACATATGAAATAATGCTTTATGTGTGTTGCAGTGAAAAATTAAAAGAATAACCGAAAACTTAAATTTGGACTTTATCTGGGAATCATCCAGACAAACTTCAGATTAAAACAGCGAAATGTAAACTTTCATATTATATGGTGCATTTCGAACACGTAGCTAACGAGGGAACCTTCTCAGGTCTAACCCTCCTTTTCCAATGCAGCCAACATGAATCGATTGCCTATCTAGTGATAGTAAAAAGCCTAAGAGTTTTTATTCAGAAAGCTCATCCTTCGAAAAGTTAAGCCGTTTTTCTGGAAAACCAGTTTTTCGAAAACTCTAGAAAAATAACTAAAACCTTTCTTAATGAGCCATGATTGTGGTCCGTACATTTCTGATTAAAATGAGACCTCCTCCAGCTCTGCATGTTCTTTCTTTGCAAAGTTATAGGATTTACCCTAAATTAATTTATTCTTATTTCTGTAGCTTTGAGCTGACAATGAATATTCAGGGCTTTTCTTGTAAATCCTATAACTTTGTAAAGAAAGGTCATGCAGAGCTGGGAGATGTCTTATTTTAATCAGAAATGTACGGACTTTCAGAGTTTTCGAAAAACTGGTTTTCCAGAGAAACGGCTCGACTTTTCGAAGGACGAGCTTTCTGAATAAAATCTCTTAGGCTTTTTACTACCACTAGGTAGGCAATCGATCCATGTTGGTTGCATTGGAAAAGGAGGGTTAGACCAGAGAAGGTTCCCTCGTAAGCTGAAACCAAAATAATTTCTGCGTGATTCCACAGACAGACCTCAAAGTAAGAACAAGAGCATTTGAATCAGAGGCGTTTGTAACAATGAAGCAAAACTCACCAGGTTTTCTCTGACGCATGATCTAACGATCCGTTTGAAAATAAATCTATAATCGCTCACGTTCGGATATTGACTAGAATATTATAATCTTTTATTTAATTTGACGTTTGCAAATATTTTCGCAATAAACTTTCTGTTATAATATGATTCATTGCGTCACATCCTTTTCTGACAGTCTTTAAGTTCGTAATACGGGTCAGATCGTAAGAGTTAAGCTGCATAGACGTGTCAGTGACAGTTTAGAGACTACTGTTGCTAATATTAACTCATGTAATCTTTCACAGATGCACTTTCATGACGCTTCTACACTGACTCAAAAAGTTTCTTTTTTGGAATCAATGTTTACTCATCAATGTGTACTCTTTATAGTCAAAAACAAAACTTTTACGGCTGAATCTCAACTAAAACAAAGTGGATTTGTGTTTTTAGCTGCGAAACCGTAGTGTACGTAGAGCACTACTGAAGTAAGATGCCGGCAATGCGAATTTCGAGTAAAATCTTTTTTCGCCTTCTCTTTACATCATTTGATAGACAATGAACTCTACACACGAAAAACCACTTTTTAGCCTTAGCAAATGCTGTTTTCAGGTCGAAAAATACGAAGAACTTGAAGGGAGTCGCTCTTTTGGAAAAACACAATTTTTTCAGAATGCGCAAAATGCTCCTCTTCGTTGTTTCTTTCAGCTTCTGAAAATATTTTTCCAAATTCAGCAGTAAAAACAAGTCGTTAAATCGACTCTGACTCCAAAAATATTTTGATGGAGGTGCTTCGAACCATGTCGAGCGTCATATGTATAGATCGTTTTTGTAAACCTATCTAGTTTTTTTACGTAAGTGATGAAGGCACATATTTTATCTCATTTGACTCATTATACTATCAGGCGCAAAAGCATGTATGTTTTTTTTTCTTTTCGTTCTTTTGTCGAGAACAAGTGATTTTACTGCTGTGATAGAAAAATGGGAATGTCATTCTTAAATAAAATGACTATTTTGTACTCAAATCAAGTGTAAATTTGTTTACATAGGTAAAAAGTGACGGCCAGTCAAATGAGCACAATTTGACACCTCTAGAGAATCTTCAAAGGGTCTCTGGAAAACCTTTTCTTAAAAAATCATGGTATAATGATGTGTTAGTATGTGTTTTTCTTTGAGATAACGTCGTTTTTAGCTCAAATGAATAAGTTTGTATGCCTAAACGAAGTAAACGAAGAAGTCATTCCCGTTAAGCGACATTGACGATCTTGCTGAAATGCGACAGTCGGCATGATTCGAAGCGCCCCCATCAAAATATTTTGGAGTTAGAGTCGATTTAACGACTTGTTTTTACTCCGTTCTTGCTGCTGAACCTGGAAAAATATTCTCAGAAGCTGAAAGAAACAACGAAGAGGAGCATTTTGCGCATTCTGAAAAAGTTGTGTTTTTCTAAAAGAGCGACTCCCTTCAAGTTCTTCGTATTTTTCGACCTGAAAACAGCATTTGCTAAGGCTAAAAAGTAGTTTTTCGTGATCAGCAGTTCAATGTCTATCAAATGATGTAAAGAAAAGGCGAAAAATAAATTTTACTCGAAATTCGCATTGTCTGCACCTTACTAAAAATATAAAAGCTCAAAGACTCTTACTTTCAGATTTTGTGTGTTGTCAAAAGTTTGCTGGTTTAGCAGCCGCAAAAGTTCCTCTAGTAGACCAAAACAATGGAGAAAATCAGCTGGAAATGCTGCATTTTGTATTTTTTAAAATCTATAAGTTAGACTCATGAACGTCAAAACTTCGTGGCTCTATCGCTTAAAGTATAGCGCAATAGTCCCCATTACGTATCGACATTTATATTCGATCATTATGTTTGTTTTTAAGATTTCAATGTTCAATGTGAGTAACATCACAATATATTTTAGCGCCTACAAAATTTTTGTTCTATTAGGAAACTATTCCAGACTATTTTATAATCCATTGTGACGACATTTTTAGATCAATGGGAGGTAAACAATGTGAATGTTTGTTCAACTGCAAATTTTTGCTCCACTGGAAATTTCCTCGAATAATCAAAGATGTAAGATTAACATAAAATCGTCTTTTTTCGTTCTAATACATTTATGTAAAACAAAGAGTTCGAAAACAGAAGTTTTTGTTGATCGATAACCATCGTAGATTCAGCACTCAAATAAACGGATAATTGACAACAAAATTTTATTGGCATGTTCTATTTAGTTGGCACGGGAATTTGAAGTTGTTGTGACGAAAGATCGATTACCTGACACGGGAATGTGAAGTTGTCGTGTGGAAATATCGAGTACTTGACCGGCGCAAATGATGTTCTCATAAGGAGACAGCGATTACTTGACACGGGAATATGAAGCTGTCGTGAAGAAACGACAGTACTCTCTAAAAAGATCCGTAGCTCACAAAACGAATATCGATTTTGGCATTTGCTCCTAATAGAAACCGATATCCGTATCGTACAGTCCTGCTTCACCATTNAACAATTCAAGTGTATTCTGAGAAATGATTCAGCAGGACTGTAAGATACGGATATCGGTTTCTATTACGAGCAAATGCCAAAACCAATATTCGTTTTGTAAGCCCTACGGATTTCTTTTAGAGAGTAGGCTACCCGTTTGAGAGCGAGTAACGGGGTGTCGCTGGCCTATTTCTATTGAGACACGACTATTCTTTGTAATTTTAACACTCAATACGCTTTTCAAAACTGCACAATTCGTCGAATTACAGAGTGAACCAGGGGAACCTGAAGCCGTTGCCGTTGATTGTGAATTTTCCATGGCTTTCTGCTGATCTCTCAGATGCTCTCCATTTCTACACAAAAGTGTATATACGTCTTTCTAGTGTAAAATTCAGCATAAACATTTTCAAACAAATTGACGCAGAAAAATCCCCATGGTAAAATTAAACAATTTTAAAAATTTTCTTAACTTTTTCGCGGTACCCCTCGCTAAGAATAGAAAATTTTCCAGATTATCAAGTGTGCTGAATACGAAAAAGCACTTTGCTTTAACTCTTTAATTTTTTGTCGGTGATATGATAATCTTCTTATATAGATGTGGCAAACTGTTTCCTTCTTTCTGTATCAAATATTCTCAACAACTAACTAATATCAGTTTAATAAGAAATTAATCTTTTATCATGGGATAAATCGTGTACATGTGAGAGTATGTACATGGGTAGATCTGATGAGTGAATCAATAGTTCATTTTAGGCCGTTTGTTCAGGTGTTCGTCCATTTGAACTATACGTACTTTTACATATTCTTTTCCAAATTCATTTCGTGTCAATGTGTATGTCTCCCTAAGGAAGTTTACCTGAAAATAAAAATTTTCTGTTTCTATGAAACGAGAAAAAAAGTGCAGGTTTGGCTGATGTGTTGGATCAACACTATGTAAGCATTTACACGGCGAAACAAGCATTTATTGTTTTACTTGAGAGACAGATTGTACGTAATTACATATGCGCGATTTATTCTATGATAAAAGTTTAATTGATTATTAAAATGATATTAGTAAGTTGCTGAAGAAGGTAACAGTTTAACCATTAGCCATAACAATCACTGAGAAAAAAAGAAAGCACTCGAATGACTGAAGTTCAAATTTACGGAGAAAATCTCT